AAAAAAAAAACACTGAGTTTGCTTTGCAAAATAACTCCTTTCAGTCATCCACAACTATAGTCCATAAGTGAGCAAGATGGGTTGTCTGATTACATTTCCAATGTTGGAGGAGTGAGAAAACAAAGGGCTTTATTTCAAGAAGAAAATGACGTGCCTGGAAAATTGCATAGAGAAAACGCATAAAGCAATATCCATGACTTCTCTCTATTTCCTGTTTTGGAGTTATTTAATAATCCAGTTGAACTCTAAAATATGATGTATTTTTTTATTTAAAAAGCTTGCTCTGTCTTTTGTCACAGTCTAAACTGAACATGGAAAGTCTGACCAAGCCAGAGCTGCTGATGCTTTTCAGCATCCTGGAGGGAGAACTGGAGGCTCGGGACATCGTCATCGAAGCCCTAAAGGTACCAAAAACCAGATCTGGTGACATAGTTCTTACACTTCAGTAGTTCAAACTGCATATTACCACTTTTCACATCAAACATTCACAACACCAGGCTGAGAAAGCATTCTTATATATTAACAGTTTTGAGAATATGGTTTAATTTAGTGGTGACCAGTTTTCAGATCAGGGATGAAATATATTCCCTATGATGACCATGCAGTTGTTGGCTTATTATAACTTTTTATATTTCACTTTAATGTAGTGCTGTAGTAGGGTTGGGCTTAATCGTATCATGTGAAATTAATCATCAGAAAAAACATGAATTGATTATTTTTTAGCACTTGACGATTAATTTGATCAATGCCATTAAAAAAAGTTCTGTAATTTATTTATCTATCAACACAATTTAAAATTAGATGTATAGCCTGAAGTCTGTAATTTTGACACAATTTGGAACTGATTTTTATGAAGCACAAATCTTTCCCACTAAATTGGTCATTGGACTAGGACATAAGGGTGTCCAGGGACTCCAGGTGATTAATCGTCAAATTAATCGTTATCGGCTAAATACCACAATTTATCGTGATTATTATTTTTTTGCCAATATTGCCCAACCCTATGCTGTAGGTTTATTCATACCTAGATTCTTCATTTAAAATGGACAAAACAAACAGTTTTATAGCAAGCAAGAACATCTTCAGTCCTCTAGCCTGGTTAAAACCAGACCCCTGTCCTTCACTTTGCTTCATACAAGGGTCTGGACTTGATGCATAGAGAATCGTTTCTTGTAGGAGACGTGGCCTCTGTTGAAGCATGTATGTGTTGTCGGTGTGAAAGGAGGCTAAGCTAAGAAGCTAACCGGAAATCGCGTGTGCTGTAAACAATCTTACTGAGAGGAGAGAAGTACCAAGCCGAACGAGACGACTGTAAATGAGAGCTGCTGCTTTGTCAGACAAATTTATTTTAATTTGGAAGCCTTATCAACACAGACTGGCTTCATTCACTTCCTCCACTGCCGTATGCTAAAATAACTAGCAGACACTGAGCAGAACGTCGACGTCATTCAAAAACTCCTCATTCTGTTCTCTGATTGGTCCAGGTAAAATAAACTACAAGAGACACTGCGCAGAAAATTGACGTTCTGTTCTCTGATTGGCTCGGCTAAAAATCTGCCAGCGAAATCATTGTCAATGGGAGAAATCCCAGACGGAGCAGAGAAGGGAAACTAGAATTGAGCAGAGCTGCGTAGGAAGGCAAGGGCCAGGCTGTCAGTCCTCCAAAATGTTTAAATAAATACAAATAGATAGTGAAATTGTTGGAGTTTGACAGCGAGTGAACAGACAGCCTAGAAAGCTTTGTTGTTTCAGTGAGTGGATTGAGAAGCTGATATTTTGTGGGAGACAATTTGCTAAAATTGTTTAAACCCCCTTTTTGTTTGAAAAGGAAGTGTTACTTTGAATCAGTACAAATAGTTTTGAGTTATCTGTACCTTCATTCTATGACTATCATTTCTGAAGGTCTTCTCTAGAATTGTGGTGCCTCCATAAATAGTACAGAAGGATTCACTAAGTCATTTGATAGAACTGAAAACCATAAATCATATAAACCAAATCATATTCGTATTCTCCACTGGGTTTTCTCCAGTTTCCTCCCACATTTTAAAAACAGGAATATTAGGCTGCCTTCAGGCACTAGCCTCTTTTACAAACGACATCTGTGATCTCAGTGGGATTTGCCTGGGTAGATAAAGGTTAATAAATAAAAATCATTCTAATCATTGGCTGTTGGATCACAGTAACAATCTCACTGTAACTAAACAGCTAAAACCGAGTTTGGACTGTGCTCAGGCATCAAGGAAACACACACACAAAGCATCTCAAGGATTTTTTTTAAACGCTATTGTTTATATTAGTATTTTTAAGTATACAATACCATAACGTTTGCGTGGTGTTGCATTGCTGTGTTCTACAGATCTACAAAGTCTTTTATGTTGCTTTTCCCCTTTTTTTCTGTCTAAATCCCTGGTATTGGATGCAATAAACCACTAATTCAACAGAAGCAGTGAGTAAGTACCTTATTTATATAACAATTTAGCAAAAGGTGATTGTAGCTTATAGAGTCATGTAAACAGCTCTCCAGCCTTAATTCTCAGTGTTAACATTTGGTTGTTACAGTCACACTTGTGGAATGCATCTCACTGTCTTTGTGTAAAACGCACTATTAAAAAGACAAAGTGAAAATGCAGCCAGCAGACTGAGAACCTACTGCTGAACGTTCATACATTGTGTCTATATCGCATTCCTTCATTTCCCCGGAGATCTGGCCATCTAAGGCAAGAAACGCTAAAGCGCAGCGGGTGCCCGATGACTCAACACGAGCGAGAGTTGGAGTGAATAAATAAACACGGGCATTAAGTGGAGTTTTAAGGGGAACGCGGCCGGGCTTCTTTTATGGATTCATCTTGCACGCACTGTTAACCCATTCATCCCATCCGCTGTATAAATGCATTTGTGCTTTGTTAATTAATGAAAGTATTTTTAAAGCATATGACAGAGCTTCATTTTCCAAACATATACAGTTAAAATAGAATCAGTTTGTGAAGAATGATTTTTTTTAATGACTTAGCAAAACACAAGAGAAAGAGAAGGCAAGTTCATCTGCAGCTTTTTGACCTGTTAATGATGGTAAGGTGGAATTTTTTTCAAGCCTTTACATGAGTGTAGATGATTGTTATCAGTAAAACTTAATACCATAATACTAATGTTGTGAGACTTGCAACCCTAATCTATGAAAGGGACTAAATACCCTCTTTCATCAAAATAACTCAGGGATTATGATTGTCATGCTATGTAGGTATTTTATTCTACAATTACCCTCCCAAAAAAGGAGAAACTGTAAAAAATCTGAAAGAAAAACAACAGTAACATTGTGGCCACTTTTTTTAAAGGGGCAATATCATGTAAAATCAACTTTTTTGAGTTTTACATCATGTTATAATGTACTCTCATAAAAAACATGCCCAAAGCCTTGCTTTGACTCATTCATGCATGTTTGAGAAATCCTGCAGCGTTTTTAGGAAGCCATGCTGAGGAGCAAAACGACAGGTGGGGACTAGAAACGCCTTTGGGATGTGTCTTTAAGCCGAACTTCCTCATCACGAAGCACAGCTCCCCACCCCACACACCCCGCCCATGACTCCTGCAGGCTCTTGGCAGTAACAGAGCAAAGTGAAAGTGAAACTTAAGCTGTCTGCTGAGATCCACTACTGTTCACTCAGTGAAGCTCATTTTAGATTCAAAATACCTTTGAGGAAATGTATTTTCAGATGCCAAGTAAACTGCATCATAGCGCACGTGCGAAACAAACCCCCTCCCCCACACTGAAACTTACAGGACGGAAGCGGAAGGCAGTTCTTAAAGAGACAGAGGCCAATTTCAAGGCGTTTAGAAGAGGAAGTGATGAGAAGATAAGTTTATTTTCTATTTAAACATAAAAACAGCATTTTAATAACAGCTAAAGGTGACATAGATACTTTGTTATGGTATAGTATTTAAATGTATGCCTGAGAAACACGTAATATTGGCCCTTTAACCTTTGATTGGGTCATTGTAAAGTCTTGGTTCTTTGTCTAGTTGTTCTTCTGTCATTGAAAGAATTTTCATACTGAATCACTTTTATCCAAACCGTTTGACAGTTTGCTTCATGTTTTACCTCAGAATACACTGGTAGATGAAAAGTAACTGATTAAATGACTCTGAAGTGTCTTTTTGTGTCTGTAAAATGAACCCAAAACATCACACCTTCACATCTGTGCTAGAAATCTTGTTTCTGTTTTCTGTTTTTCAAATGTTCTCCTGGTTGTCATGACTATGATACAATAAAGCACTTTGGTCCCCATGATATCACCATGGTAGATTTGCATATTGTTATTAGTAGTTTTCTGCAGAATTATGCAAGTAGAAAATATGGAAATAAAGCATTATATTTTAAATTGTTGCTCTAAATGTAATTTAGAACTATCAATGGCATTCTAACTATCCACTGCATTTTTTCCCCTCCTTGTGACTCACTTCTGCAGCTGCTTGTGCTGTGGCGTTCAAAAGGAAGTTAGTGTTTGGCAGTGCTTATTTTGGCACACAAAGCCCTGCAGCGAGTCAGTAGTCCCTTTGGTTTGGGAAAGGAATAGCAAACTCTTTACTTTAAGTTCAAAAAGGACTCAAATATGGAAATAAGCCTTTAATTAACTGCAGAGTTCACACAGTGCTGTTAGCTAGAGCTTTCAAATGGAGCTACTTCAAATAACTTTACCTTCTGTTTTGTTTAACAGGCAGCATTGAAGTAGGGGAAGAGGAATTTTGTTTGGGGAGCTGAGATGCCTCAGCTGATTGGTTTCAGTGTCAGTAATGAGGCATTTGTTGCATATTTGTCTGGAGTGGCTCTGTTGGATAGCGGTCTTCCAATACCCCCTAAATACTTTGAGTACTTTAATTATAAGTGATTAATTATTCATGAGTTTGTCAGCTTGTTTAGCAATTTGATGAAACAGCTTTTCAGTATATTAGACTTAAAAAAAGACAGATTTGTTGGCCAAAATTTCTTTTTCAGTATATTAGACTTAAAAAAAGACAGATTTGTTGGCCAAAATTTCTATTACACAGATCTTATAAAAGACTGTGTGTCAGCAAAAGATAAGCTGGACTCAGTATGGTTGTATCTTCCAGTTCAAGCACATTTAATGGCCAAGAACTGCAGCCAGCAACCAAATGTATGAATTACTGTATTAGGCTAGCCTTGCAGATTACCATGTGCCGAATGGTTACAGGGATTATACACTTGCAAAACAAAGTGATGAACAAGGTAAATTGATAAAAAACTGTGCTGTGTTTACTAGCTTTAGAAATGCTTTCTGAACGCTCTCTCTTTTCATTGCCTGCATCCCTGTTTGTATCATTGGAGGGCTGGTGCAGAGAGACAAACAGCCTCTCTTTGTATTGCCAAACTGGACAGCTATCTTTGCAATAAAGAGCCGATAGTCAACTAAGAAAGAGAAAAAAACAGAAGCACGGTTTGTGTTTGAGAAGGAGCTTTTGTGCAGCAAGTGTCCTCTAAGTTTGAAAAGACACTTCTAATTAGGACTCTAATTATCCTGTTTTAACATAGTGCTGAAATAAACACATATTGAACTTTTTAAAAGGGACACAAAAAAACACATTTATTTTTATTCTGTTTCAGAATGTTCTCTTCTATCAGCTATCGCTTACCGATCAAGCAATTTTTTTCAAGCCCAACAGGAAGCTGCTGCAATTTTTAGTCTTGATGTAGGCATCAAGAATGGAAACTCTGATCTAAGCCTTTTTTATTTTAACTGTAAAGTGACTCATGAAAGACAGTCATTGATGGGAACAGGGAGGAACTGAGGACACATTTTTCTGAAAAATTTTCTTCAGAAATTGATGATGCCTTTTAGTCAGAGTTTACTATTTTTAGCCAAGTCTTGGTATAAGTTAGGATTTCCACTGCAAAACAAAATCGTACCAAAAGGGGAAAAAATGCTCTAGATGTTTTACACATAACTCACTTACTGAAGTGAAGATTTGAAAAGCATTTTTGAATACTCCTGGGTCCTGCTTCACCCACCTCCACCGTTTGATCCACCTTCACACCATCCTCCGCAGACTGGATCAAGTAACAGCTGCAAAGCCTCGGACCCCCTTCACCCAGCCCCATCATCCCACCCCGACCCCTTTGTGCCAGATAAGCCAATAACTGAACATGTGGAAAATGACGGTCTCAAAGCTCCTGAACTCTCTGGCACTTTAGGTTTTTCTGTCGGGACCCATTTATCAGTCCTCCCCAGTATTTCCCAGAAACCAGCAGGGTTCATTCAGCTCTGTAGACTTCTTGGAAATAACGTCAATTTAATTTGACAAGAAATGTAAAGTTCTGTAGCATAAAAGTTCAAGGAAGTGTGTTGACTCGTGTTTAATTATGTCTCTTTCACATGGCGTAAATTTTTCAGTGAATATGAAATTTAGATTTTATTCACGTTTAAAAATGTGACTTTTCATTCCACTTATGCACTGAAAAAAACAAACTTTTGGGTGTAGTAACATTTATTTAATTATTCTTTTAAATTTTACAAAAAAATCAAACGCTCTAAACTACTAGAATTTATTAAGTAAAAAATACGCATTATATTAAATATTAATATTACTGTACAAAAAAAGTAAATGCTAATATTATTTTACCAGTAATATTTAAGTGCTTTTTAAATTGATTGCTAAATAATTTTAGGGAATTGGTTAACATTGTTCTTTCAGCAATTAGTCTGTTGTGTTACTCTAATCTGTGTGTTCATTATTTGTTAACTTGTGTTAAACCATTCAGCAGAAGTAACCGTAAGTGAGAGTGGTAGGCCTAGTCATTAATAAGACCTGTGAGTTTGAATTTGTCTGTGTTGTTCATGAAGAAGAATCCAATAAATGTTCTTCAAAACCGCCACCTTGTGGTGAAGTTTTGAACTACAACATGAGCTACACCTTTCTCTGTAGCTGTGAGGTGTCATGCAACTATATTGTGCTTGATGAATGTGCACTGTTATAAACAACTTGTAAGATTTACTTGAAAAAATCTTCGTAACAATTTGCACTGTTTGATAAGTAAATGTAAATGCCACAAATTCATGTAATATTTACTCATCATTATCTAGTAAAAGTTATTAAGAATATAATTAAAGATTTGTGAATAAATCAGGTAAATTTTACTTTACCTGATTTTACAAGATTTAATTGAGCAAATTAAGTAAAATTTTACCAGATTTATTCACAAATCTTTAACTATATTCTTAATAACTTTTACTAGACAATGATGAGTAAATATTACATGAATTTGTAGTATTTAAATTTACTTAAAAACATTAGTGCAAATTGTTATGAGAATTTTTTCAAGTAAATCTTACAAGTTATTTTTCTCAGTATAGGTAGAGGAAAAGTTGTTTTCTTTATGCTCGTGCTAATGTAGGTGTGCAGATATGATGCAGACCTTTTTCAAATGAGCAGCTCTCTTTGCAACAATGAGACATAATATCCTGTGCTTTAGCCTGAACCCAGACAGGTTAAACACAGACACCTGTCTCCACTCTTGACTCCGCTTTGAACTTCTCAAGCGATCTGGGTATCTCTGTCCATCACCCTGCCAGAGAGGGTAGTGTTTCCTCTAACCGCTTGATCGTCTTTTTTGTCAAAAGCTCACCAAGACGGAGCTCTGCCGCAGGCCTCCTCCCGTCTCCCTCTCCCGCTGTCACACACTTACAGCCGGCCTAAAGGCATTTGCTGAACCTGGAATGTCTTGTTGCTATTATCTCTCCCTTGTCACGAGTTAAACAGACAACAGATCTGCCTTGGACAAAGCCCAGTTTAGAACAGCTGTCCTGCTAAAGATAGACAAACACCCACCATCTGTTGCTCCTTCTGCAGCTAGCACTTTTTTTTAAAAATGCATTTCCGCTCTCTTTATTCCTCCTTTCATATTCGCTGCTTATTTTCTGTAATAAATAATAATTTGAGATAGCCATCATGCTGTGCTGAATGCAGCATTCGATTTCATGTTTTACTGAGAGATTTGCTTTATGCAATCATACAGTCACACTAAGGCATTAGTGAATATCATACACTAGTTCTACAGTTGATTTGTTGTAAAAGGAAGTAAATAGAAGGGGATTTTGCAGTCAAACAAACATTGCACGGCTCTTATTTTATTTTATTTATTTTTTGTTAGAGGAAGTTTGATCTAAGTGCTAATTTTAGTAAGATGCCCATATTGATAACGCCAGTGTTGACTAGCTTAATCATTTGGCTTGGCTTTTCAGCAAGTAATATGCACCAGTTAATAAGCACTTCAAGATGTTCCTAAGTTTGTAGCTGTTATGTCATAAAAAAAATACTGCCCAGATATTTTACAGGACGATGCATGAGGAACATTACCCACAGGGTGGCGCTAAAAGACTGATCACAGCCAAACACACAGGTCCAAAATCACAACAGGGCAACCAAGTTAACAGGACCTGTATAAATAAAACCCCACTGTTTCCCCTCCCCCCTGCAGGCTCAGTGTAAAGAGCTGTTCATCCAGGAACGCTACGCAAGGTACAACCTCAGCGACCCCTTCCAGGCCCTGCAGAGAGATGGTGAGATTGCAGGGGGTTCCAGCAAAGCGGCTGGCTGTGCTTCAACCAACCCTCTGGTGGTTCTCAAACTGGTGGTGAGCCACTGCAGAAGGATGCAGGAAAAGATGATGGCTCAACTGGCCGCAGCTGAAAGCCGGCACAGAGGGGTGAGTCTGGATGGGAGGTTATTGTCAAATAAGCAAAAATCTTTTTTTTGTCTTTTACTAAACCAAAACAAAAATAAAAAAATAAAAAAGCAGCATATCTGGCACAATTTTACACAGAAACCTGAAATGATTTACAACTAAACACTTGTGTTTGTTTTAGGTGATTGCAGACCTGGAGGAGGAAAAAAGGAGGCATGCCGAGGACACGGCCGAGGGAGATGATGTCACTTGCATCCTTGAAAAGGAGAGGGAGCGCCTACAACAACAGGTGATTAGCACTAACACGGGTTTCACTATTCATGCACGTCCAAATTGTGGAACATTGTCAAACAATCAGTAAGTAATAAACAGAATATGTCAAATAAAACCAAGTAATCGTTCCCACTTCTAGGATTTCTTAATGGATTTGGTTTTTTTTTTGTTTTTTTTTCTCTGTGCTTGTAGTTGGAATTCGAGCGGAGCCAAGTTCGCCGGCTGGAAAAAGAGCAGCGACGGATTACTGAGCAGGTGGAGGAAGAACGTGCTCAGCACAAACAGCTTTCCTGCGCTTTGGCTAAAGAGTGCAAGTGGGCGAGTTCCCGGGCTCTAAAGGAGGGTCACCGGCTGTCAGAACTGAACCGTAAACTTGATAAGGTTGAAACATGTCGAAATCATGATAGATACTTTCCTCAACTATGCCTTTTACTCTGGTTTGATTTTAATAAACTTTGCTGCTTAAAAAAAACAACTGTTTCTGTTTAGGAAAAAGAGGTTTCTCAAGCTTTGAGAAAAGAGCTGGAAGAGGAAAGAAGAAGAGCTTTGAGGATGGAGGCCAGAGTGGAAGAGCAGCTCGCTGAGTTTGACACCGAACGTGAACAGCTTCGCTCTCGTTTGAAGAAGGAAGAAGCTCATTGCGCTCAGCTCCAACGACAGGTGTGAATTCAGTCCTATGAAGGTTTTAATCTAATCTTAGCACAGAAAATGAAAATTGTTATAGCCGAGTGTCTGCTTTCAAAGTGAGTGTGTTTCATGATCAGGTAGAAGAGCTGAAGAGGAAGCTGGAGGAGGTCTACACGATGAAAGAGATGAGAGGAGCCAATGCATCTCCAGTGGAGACAACAGGAAAAGAGTGGGCTACAAGAGCTTTACCAGGAAGCCCATCAGTAGACAATGTTAAGTTTGAGGTCAAGGATGAAGACGGCGACGACCAAACTGTTCAACCAAAAGTCAATGGCCACGTTTGTCCAGTGGAGACCAGCGGGCCTTTTATTTCAAACAACGTACTCTCAGAAAATACGCTTTTCCAAAATGGAAATGAGACGCCAACGTTGTCCTCCTCCTGCAACGCAGCTCTCTCATCTCAGACTCGCTCCTCTCCCTGCATTTCACCCATTCTTACCAAACAGCCCGCAGCCTGCGCACCTCCTGGAAACTATCAGTCTCCGTACCAGGCCGGGGTCAACCAGCGGTTCCACGCTGCCCGACACAAGTTCCAGGGTAGTTCTGACTCAGAACCACCAGCCCAGGCTGTGCAACCTGCTGTCCCCGTCCCACCAAAGGACCTCTCTCCTGTGAGCAGCAACTCCCCGTCCCCAGAGGCCAACCCGATCAAGCAGATGGCCCGCAGCACGGTCACTCAGGTCCTGTCTCGTTTCACCACTGTGCAGCAGAGTGCCGTGACAAAGCTGACGGCGACAAACAACTCCCCGTTCGGCACGGACTACCGCAGCCTGGCAGCTCCTTTGTCTCCCGTCATTGGCAGGGCCACGGGGGCAGTTCTGCAGGGGATTCGATCACCCACCTTCAACAGAGCAGACAGAGGCAACCCGCCTCCTATCCCCCCTAAGAAGCCTGGTCTAGCTCAAGCCCCTCTGTCCCCAGGATCAGTGCCTAAATCTGCCAGTCATTTCTCAGACGGTCCCCTGTCAGGCAGCTGTGGCCTCAGCTCTGCCCAAGAGGGCGTCAAAGAACTCGACATGGTAGTTTCATCAAATTAACTGTTAGTACAGCCACTTCTCTGCTGGGGTCATAATGATTTAATCCATAATATCCCACCATTACAACTGAGATATTGTATTTTACAAGCAAGGATGTGTACTATTATTTGAACAGAAATCCCTTATTTTAAACCTGAGCAGAATCTCTTATTTAGGCAGAGATTATGGAAAAAATGAGGGGGTGATGTTCTTGTGACATTAATAATATCAAGAATTTTGGAATTGCTACGAGGAAGTTATAAGAACAAACATATGTTATACTCATAAATCGTATAAATGAATCACTGATTTATGAATTTTATACACAGATTATCTGATGAGTTGTAATCTGACATAAGACAGTTTTATTTTAATATTGTACAGTTTCCTGATTATCAGTGTTTATGTGGTCACTGTTATACAAGCAAGTGTTTCAGATAAACGTTATGCGTTTGCCATTATAATAAACAGTTGTTAAACGTTTTATTGTCAGCTATTCGTTTTTTTTTGTCTTTATCGAGTCCTTTAAAATGTATCATAGGCTGTAAAGTATTTATTGGATAAATGTACAGTGCAATAAGATCATGCTTTTTGTTTATCCAGCCACTCAGGATTTTTGTCATTCGTACGCAGGGATTAGAAAGACAGCAGTCATGATAATCTGTTTTAGGTAAAGCGGTTATTACTTGCTTTAAACAAAGAAGATGCCTGATTCACAACTTGGTTTTGCAGGACATCCTGGGTGTAGTTTTCTAGTACTAGTTTCCTGCAACAATACAAAAGCAACATTTATTTTCTATCACAAAAAATAAGAAAAGTGATGCGTTACTTAACTAAACATCAGAAACTGAATCACAGTTTAGCCACAATTTTTGCATTATTGCTTGAAAAATATGCAATACGTACAGTATGTGTTTAATAATAACAATAAAGATATATTTTTAAAGTGGTGCTACTCTAGAAGTCCTCTAGAGGTCGCTGTTTGATAAGGATTTGCTCACTAGGAACTAGTTGACAAATGTGAATAATTTCTTTAAATGGTTGTTTCATCTTTAAATTTTCTCCTATTTTAGCTGTATGAATTCATCTAGGTTATTGTATTAAGATGTAATGTACAGTGCACCTATGAAATGTAGAAATAAGAAATAAGAAAAATCAAACTGTTCACTGTGGTACACATTTGAGCATATAAAACTACTTATGGCAACATCTGTCGACAGTACAAACAAAGTTTTTTTTGTTTTTTGCTCAGCAGCAATCAAATGGGAAATTTAAGAAAACATTTATATTAAATTGATGTTCTAATCAGTTTATTTGTGAAGAAAGTCTAAATGGCTGAAACCATTACATTGCTCAACTTATAAACAGAGTTTGTAATGCATTGTTGAAGTTTTGCCCCCTTAAGAAAGAAAAACTGAGTAATGATTAGTCAGCGGTCTTTAACGTCAGACAGCATACTTTTTGTGTCCTAATAATCCAGTCTGACTTGGCAACGAGCGCTCGCTGATGTGGCTTTTCCAACACACTGAATCTTCCTCCTTGGCTGTTGGGGAAGGGTTAGCTGGTTAACAGGAGAGGTCCCCTCTCTTTCATTCACTTCACCTAATTAACATTCCAGTTGAGGACAACAAAGCTGCATCCTAAATCTGAAAGAGGCACACCTCATCCCACAACAGAGCCCAATCTTCTCAGGCTCAGGTTGATGGGCTGTTTACTGTTTACTTAAAGTGGCAGGAGCTCTGTTTCTGTGCATTCATTTTTAGATAAGAACTATGAAGTCAAACTACAGTTTTGTGTGAATTATGTGGAAATAATGTAATAATTTCTTAGTTAAAAACCAGCAGGTGGATCTAACACGAAAGCAGTCTTCTATTGGATTCCAATATGAAAGTAAGACAAATATAATAGGCTCAACCTCCAAACTTTTTTTTATCCATAAAATCCTCTAGAAGCAGAACATTTGTTTGGACTGGGAGCAGCTAAATCAGCGTAGCTTTTTGTCTCCTGGTCTGGGTGATGAGATGGGCCCAGAATAGGAGCTCAGCCCCCCCTACACGGCCCTTTAAAGACCACAGCTGGAGCTGACTCAAAGCATGGTAAAAAAAAAAAAAAAAGAGGGAGGGCTGGTTGATGAGTGGTGTTGCCACCATCACCTGCTCCCTGTAAAGCAATTTGTTATAGAGTTGTCACTGTAAAATCCATAGCTTGTCCTCGGGTAAAGAAAGAACGGGTCACATGTAATGAGGAGCCAACTTTGGCTCCAAATCCAGATTTGACATGTTGAAGGACAAACAGCTGGGCTGCAGGAGGAGAAAACATGTCTGGTGACAGACCCTTAAATCCATGAAGGCATAATGTACCAAATGTAAGACTATCTACATGTGTTTTAATAGACAAGACAATATTTCAAGATTAGATATAAACTGCACTTCCAGGTGGTAAACAGGGCACTTTTAATCATAAAGCTTTACATTAGCTGTCAGTGCTTGGGTATTTTTAGGAAGCTGCTTTGTTATTGACCTTTACTACCATCCCCAGCTATCACCCCTGGATTTGCACTGGTTGAAATGACCTCCTGCCTTCATTCGCTCATAGCATCTTGTCTCTCTTTACCTACTGATGTATGCAGCATGGCTGACTGAGGTCTCTGGGATAAAAGGCAGAAATGTCCTTGAAGTGGCTCAGATGTTTCCAGACTGGCTCGACGAGACCAACCTGTCTCTGGACTGAGACTGTTGATAGGAGCTGAACTACAAACATGCACTCTGGCAGCATAACAGGAGAGGTTCAAGTGCTTGGAACAGAGAGGAGGATATTTAACTCTCCCTCCCCGTGTCACGTGGAACAGAGGTATCTTCACTGACTTATTAATCATTTTCTAACATAATGAGACTATACTGGGCATCAAACCAAAGATGGACAAACCAAACAAGTCCTTTATTCAAACAACATATATGAGTTTTAAAGGGTTTGGTTTTCCCAAGATCTTAAAAACCCAGTTTGTAGTTTGATAGTTCTCTAAAACACCTTTCAGTTTTGATTTGTTAAATTCAACATACACAGTGGAATGAGACCTGTCCCTTGTTATGGAATCTTCATGGAAACACCAATCTCCCAATTGATCATGTGAAAAATGATGCAGCATCCCTCAGAGCTGCAGCTTCATTACTGTCCTGAGAGCGGATCAGGAGATAAATGCGAATCATCAAACCGGTTAGAATGTTTTTCTTTTATAATTAATGCTTTGTATTTCGTTTTCTGTCCCTGTGAATATTTAAATGTTAGACAAAATTTGTTGCACTTATTTAATTAATAATTTTTTTTTATCACATTGTCATTTGGCTCGCTTTGCTTCCTCATTTATGTCTCTGTTGCAGGTTTTTGTGGGTGTTTTTAGTCTCTTGAAAAAATGACGTTGGGATGAGATTTGGAGTCCCTGGGCGGAGCACATATCAGCTACTATTTTGCTACTTTTAGCTTTTAGCTGGACTTTTGCTACTTTTCATTTCATGTTTTACATCATGGGTGTCCAACTAATTTTCACCAAGGCTCACATGAGCGTTATGGTGGCCCTCGAAGGGCCAGTTGTAATGAACTTTGATGTTTCATGTTTAACTTTTGACTAAACAGAGTTTTAACATGTCCTCTTTTAAACACTGATAAGAACTATGACTGACTAAATCTGAAATAAATACAGAAATATTATTAAAAGTAAAACTAATAAAGTTTTACTCACTGACGAGTTTCTAGTGAGTAGCTGCATTATGGCAGATTCAGTTTATGTTTGATGGTGACTTTAAAGCAGCTTATTTTCAGACATTAGTACTGTGCTATCCAACTAAACTGCTCAGTTACTTCAAACCAACAGCTCAGGGACAGGATTTTTTAAATTTATTTTTATTTCATTTATTTTATTAAATTAATTTCTTGCATTTAACCATAAATTTAAAGTTTGCCGTTGATATAAGAAACAAATATCATGTTAAGCATAAATAAATAAATAAATAAATAAATAAATAAATAAATAAATAAATAAATAAATAAATAAATAAATAAATAAATGGGCGGGCCACACGGGAGTCACCCGTGGGTCACATTTGGCCCGCGGGCCTTGTATTTGACACGTGTTTTACATCATTCAATCTTTCACAGAAACCTGGTTTTGGTTTGATGGTGGAACCTGAAGAACTTTTTCCCCCCAACACTGTGCCATGTTTTTAGTTTTCTGACCAAAAGGCCTATTATTCATAGCCAGTTATTGCCATGCAGCCAGGGCACTCTGGTTAATGAGATTTTAATCTCAATAAGGTTTTCTCCTTGTAAAATTAAGAATTAATACTAAATAATAATAAAGTTAATTTAATAAAGTTTATAATCGTTTGTTGAACATTTTAGCAGCCGGTGGGCGTTCATGTCAGCGGATGAGAACTGACAACTCATAAGGCTTTGTCTCATGATTTTTCATTCAGAATCTTTTAAAGGTGCGGGGCAGGAGGGCAGGAGGGGAGTGGGGCAGGAGGGGAGCGGGGGAGGAGGTGGGAGGGGTGGCGGACAGCTGACGCACCGGAGCGGAGCGGAGCGCACCGCCGAGTCTCTGCGCGCATCTTCAAGTCCCGGCTGCTGGAGGAAAAACTGAGCCGAGTTTCTTTACAGGACCGTTCATCAGAATCTGTTCACCAGCCTCTGGACAGACAGGTCCACGTCTTTAGTTCCCGCAGTTTTGGTTGAACTTATTTAACAGCCGGGAAGATTTTTGTTTTGTTCTTTCTTTCCTGGACAACAAGACTGCTCATTCGGTTCAATCTGCAGCGCTAATGAAGGATGCGTGGACGTTCGGTTCAATAATCGGCAGATAACTGATGGGACCTGAAAGCACTTTGTCTTTTTTGTGAAGTTCATTTTGGGACTGGATGATGGACGGCGGACAGTCGCCGGGGTCCCCCACACCTGACTGCGCATCTTCTGCCAACACATGAGCAGATCAGCAAAAAAAAGATGATGAGTCCGGAATCCAGAGGATTTTCAGACATGAGGGTCAGAAATGGCTCGAAACCACAACATCACACCAAACCCTTTTTTATTTTGCTGCTGCTCATTTTCACGCCGAGGGTGGATTCATCCTGGTGGTGAGTTCAAACAAATCAGGAATTTATTTAAAGATAATTAATCTTACAAACTGCATGGAGCTGCTGTAGATTTTCAGGAGATAATAACAACAAACAAACTAGATTTTTATGGATAGGAAGTAAGTTTACTTGAATACATTGTCACACACTATATATATATATATATATATATATATAAAGCTGATAAAAGTTTTTTCTTCTTATTTTTGGAAGTGTAAAAATACAAGGAGGAAATCTTTGTCAAAACAACTTCTGGTTCTGCACTTAAAATGCATTTTCCACACTCGTCTCTAAAAGAGAATCAACTTATCTCCTTTGCCTTTGTTTCCCCTGAATCTGTGTTTCTGTTATTCTTTGTAACTGTCAGTGATGTTCGGCTCAGCAGGTTTCTGAAGATTAATGGTGTAAAAGAGAAGCTCCCCTATACATCCTTCTTGCCCTGAGGAAGAGGCAGGTGCAGGCATTGGTGCATGAATAAATGCTCCTTGAAGATTTCTATTGAGCTGCAAACACCCACACAAAAATGAATAAATACACCTCCTTCAGCTCCTCTCAACTAAAACAGGTTTTTTACATGTTAGGAGTCACAACGAGCAAAAAATGGAACTGATAAATATGTTTGTTTTAAATGAACAAAAGTGAAGAATCATATCCAGAACTCTTCACTGCATCCTTTATAAATGATGTTATGAAGGTTACTTTCCCAGGTAAAGCAAAAGCATCTATTTTATTTAGCTGCAAACACAAATGTAAAATTTCAAAGATAAACTAAAGCACTGTTTTGTGGCACATTTTTTCTTTAGATGATTATATGTTTTGCATCACCTTGGCTCATTTTTAACCATCAGACGAGCCTCACTCCCTCTCTCTTTCCATGTACATCCTCTCTCAGACAGTCAGGGGGTCTATTGCCACTGCTGGTCTGTTCAACACACAATAAACACCAGCAGAGCTTCTGTTCTGCTTTACTGCTCAGGCAGATAGTCGCAGACAGAAGGAGGCAGAGACAGCCATAACAGGAGTGGAAACTGCCCACTAGTGTCTGTGTCTGTCTCAGTGTGGCCGGGCGACACGAATGTGGCTGGAACTCTAATGACATCCGGAAGGAGAGCAGAGCGTGTAAGGCTTAGACGGTGGGGGAAGGAGGAGGAGGGGGGGGGGATCACTGCAATCATATGATTGATCTCAAACCTCCTTTTACAGTAGGCGACTGTCCTCAAATCCTGCTGATTAAGAGCACCTCACACAATGCAAGCATGTGATTCATCTTTTGAAAAATTCGTAAAAAGTTGGAGATTATGCCTGAAAAAAAAAAAAAACAGGATGCAAAGTCTTTTTTTAACAAATTAATCCTCTTTAATTTTTTTGAATCAGTTTTTATAGGCAAAATGTATTACTGTGAGGGCACAGCAGAAGAAATTTTGTTAAATATCTAATTAAAAAGAAAAAATTTAAGGAAGATGCCTTTTCTTAAATTAGATTGGCAACTGATTCCAATCAGGAACATCTGCCCACCAGGTCGATGATGACAAATTATTTTGGACAAACTTTTAAGTGTTGCTTTAGCCCGCTGGAAAGGAGGTTGTCTTTCAATCAGAGGACCAAGGGTTCGATAAATTTATTTTATCAACTTGTCTTCTGAAGATGCTCCGTGTTGAAGGCTCAGTGGATCTGTGTTTCACTACTCCACCTAGGCTGCATTGTCTTGCACAGATCCACTGAGAAATGTGCTGTTTCAGCAATATTTCATTTAAAAACTGTACTTTTGAGGTTAAACAAATGTTCATTATCAATTTCAATAAATAAGTTAAGAAGGGCATGGAAATTTCTCTTTTTATAATCGAAAAAATATCAAATCGTGAGCCTAAAGTATCGAACCGAACAGGATCGTGAATTTTCTGTATCCTTGCACCCCTAATTAGAATATATGTGTGGCTGTATATTGTTTTAATATACATATTTAAACATCATAAGAGTGTTTGTGGATGAATTAGAAACTGTGTAAAGTGCTTTGCAGAATCTGAAGAGGTTAAAAAGGCACTATAGATAAGTGTGGACTTTTTACCAACATTTAGAACTTTATTTCCAAAATATGCAAAATGAACAAAACTAGTCTCAAAGTTAAGTTGATTGTTGTAAATAAAACAAAAAAACTATTTTCTGGCCATTTGCACAAATAGATTTTTTCCCCTTTTCTGTGATTTGTCTAAATTTTGATTTTAAGTGGAACTGAGCTGCAATTTAAAGAACCAGCTAAACAAACAAATGCGAATTTGTATTTTCCCTCATGGGCACAGATATGACAAAACATTTCTAATTAGTTTGTCATGGTGTTATGTTGCATAAATATGCAGAACAATCTCACAAGACACTTGAACACAAAAAATATTTAGTCCAGAAGTTACTGAAAGTCATGTCCTGTTTGTGATTTCTACAGTGAGCTGGTATGATTAATATGACACAAATGTTGTCTACAAGATGCAAAACAATTTAAAACAAGGTGATCCTATTCATTAACTTATCAGACTTATTGACTTACTGGTTGTGTGTCTGCAGGTATATTGGAGCCCTGGGTGCTCGGGTGATATGTGACAACATTCCCGGCCTGGTGAACAAGCAGCGGCAGCTGTGCCAGCGGCATCCGGACCTGATGCAGTCCATCAGCGAGGGAGCCAAAGAGTGGATCAGGGAGTGCCAGCACCAGTTCAGACACCACCGCTGGAACTGTAGCACGCTGGACCGAGACCACACTGTGTTTGGCAGGGTGATGCTGCGAAGTGAGTCTGCATACGCATGGCTGGGCCTTCTATCTGTGGGACGGTTGTTTATGTCAGTGTCACTTGAGTTAATCATCCTCGTAAATGTCTCCTCTGTTACCAGATAAGCACAGAATAAATAGACGTCATGTTAAATCAATTTTACTGCGGAACACAAACAGATAGAGAAAGTATTGTGGGTTATTTTACCTTCTCTGGAATGAAGGACGATTGGGAAAGTGGCAGTTATCTGAAAACAAGAAAAGAAGCAGATTGAGAGATCCACACTGGTGGTGTATAAACAGCAATAGAAGATGTAAATATTTGGGTAGATGTTTCTGGCAGCCAGACAAAGCTTCACTCCCTGATCCCCTGTGCTCTGCGTCATTGCGTGAGCCGGACTGAGAACAGGAGGAAGGTGGAACGGCCAGACCAAATAACCACCGAAGTCTCTTCTTGTCTGAAATAAAAACACATAGAGAGCTGCCATCTGTGCAAATTAACAAAAGGTGAAAGGAGAATTGTTTGGACTGTGATGTTATCGCTGACATTCTGCTACCTTTGTCTCAGTCTACCATAAAAGGACTGATAATAACATCTTTTTTCTGCCTAGAACATACTGAGGTAAGGCTATTTTATTCCACTTTGGATCCTAACAAAAGTAGGAACAAAATAAATGTAGTTAAGCAGTGAAAAAATACAAGCTTTTAACTCCATTTAGAATCAGAATCAGGTTTATTGTCCAAGTATGTTTACACACACAAGGAATTTGCAGTTTAGATCATTCGTTCGGAGAAACATGCACATGTGACAAACATGGGGGAACAAATGTCCAGGGTCCTTCGCAACATCGTGCGCTACCTTTGCAGTTTAGAATACACACACACATAGGACGGATGAGCTAAAAAAGAGCTCTGATCCTGTGTTTTAAACAGAAAAACACATGAGCATACGCACAAAAAACTACTCTGCGAAAGCGGAGCAGCTAAGGAGGGGGGGGTGGTGTGGGGGAACAAAACATATGGAAAGGGGGAGGGGTGCAGCGGAGCCGGTGACATCCAAGGCAGCGTGCCGGGACCAATCAGAGATCAATGTCTTCTCTAATGGTAACATTCCTGTCCACACAGGCAGCCGGGAGGCAGCTTTTGTCTACGCGATCTCCTCAGCTGGAGTTGTCTACGCCATCACCAGGGCCTGCAGCCAGGGGGACCTTAAGATCTGCAACTGTGACAGCCACAAGCGCGGGCAAGCAAGTGATGACAAGGGCAACTTTGACTGGGGTGGCTGCAGCGACAACGTCAACTATGGCATAAAGTTTGCCAAGGCCTTTGTTGACGCCCGAGAGAAGATGGTGAAAGATGCCCGAGCACTGATGAACCTGCACAACAATCGATGCGGTCGAATGGTGAGCTGCAGAGGTTTTAATTTTTAATTTTTTACCTTCCGCAGTTTTTTGTTCTTATGTCACAGTAAAGAAAATGTTTTTGCTGGAGCTTTCTTCCTGTTAAAAGGGAGTCGGTTCTTTCCACTGTCGCCAATGTTCTGCTCAGGCTGGAAGACTGGATGGATGGGTGTTAACGTTTGAAGTCCTAGATTAGCATTAGCACGTGCCTCAGATGCTAAACTACAACTACAGCAGGATTCGCAAGATTCAGCAAACTTTCTTTTTTCAACTTTTGCTTTGATAGTTGATTGTTTTTTAAGAAACAAAAAAGTCTAAACTAATATGCAGAATTTATTAAAAACACAATAATTTGCAACACTTGAAAAAATTAGATACCAACATTCCTTTAAAATGACACATTTCTATAATTAAAGAGTGATTGTGGCTCTGTTTGGCTTTTTGAGAAAATTGACTGTTTTATTATACAGATTGATACAAATATCACAATAAAACTACTTTCTAATCATACTGCCAATGACCACAAGTGTTCTCGTCCTAATAGAAGACAAAAACAAAAATAGCAGACACTAATTGCTTTAGTTAATAAGGTTGTTTTTTGCCACCTCTAGGGTTGTCCTAAAAAGTTTCAGATGCAACATTAAGTTGAACCAGAGCAAAGAATATTTGCATGACTCTGAACAGCAAGCCTGAATTGCACCTACATCATGCCGTAGACAACATCATAGGCTTAACACCCTGTCACCTCTGACCCCTGCTCCAGGCAGTGAAGCGCTTTATGAAGTTGGAGTGCAAGTGCCACGGGGTCAGTGGTTCCTGTTCTCTGAGAACCTGTTGGCTGGCTATGTCTGACTTCAGGAGAACTGGGGACTATCTTTGCAAGAAGTACAACACGGCTGTGGAAGTGACGATGAACCAGGACGGGACGGGCTTTATGGTGGCTGACAAGGATTTTAAGGGAACCACCAAGAATGAATTAGTGTACGTCGAGAACTCCCCAGATTACTGTGTTCTGGACCGTGCAGCAGGTGAGTACGAAACTTCATTGTACAAAAAAAAAAAAGGCATTTTTGCTGATCTCAGTACATTTTTTTGTTTTAGATTATTTTAAAGGATTAATTCAAAAGACCATACCTCTATGAAGATGATGCTGCTTTGTGGAAGGTGTGATTTGGCTGCAAAAAATATTCAGATTTGAAGAAAGTGTTATAGTAACATCTATGTAAATATCAGGATGCAGGTTTTCCCAGAAGTTGCTAGTCCTATTTATTACGGTTAATGTCTGACTATTTCTGTGCTTATTATCTGTGAAGCTCAGAAATGATAATCCAACGGTTAAAAAAAAACTGTTGGATTATCATTTTCTGTTCAAGCATGTTGTTGTGTTTACAAGCCAACATTTACATACTAAAACAATATAAAACTCTTCAGAACATATTAAACTTAATTTCGTTTTTTAAAAATAAAATACTATAGTTAAAAATGAGAAACAGATGGTGGACCGTTTGTGTAAATTTGTCCACTGAAGTCTCGCATTCCTTCACAGCTTAAAGTTCAATAATTTGACCTTCAACATCTCCTTTAATTCCTAATGTTTTCTTTGCCTCGTCCTCCAATCCGGGCCCTTCAGCAGAGCATGAAGGAGTTCACTGTTAATAGGTTTGACAAAATAGCATGAGGAGGGAACACGATGGCTCGAAACTAACACATTGTTTTGCTCCTCCCTGAAGTTAGCTTGGTTGCACTTTGGCAACTGATGGGTAATGAAGGTGTGTTCACTCAAAGGATTGCTTGGGTTTCCGTGTTAAAAGGTGATCTTAAAAGCAGCCTATGCAGCTCTGTCCTGCTGTTTTTCATTGTGGAAGAATCCACAGCCTAAGGATTCATGCAGGCTTATTTTTCAAATCCTTCCTTTGGCCAGTATTAGCTTTGTTCTCTGTGCCTGAGGGGGGATATCTACTTCTGTCCTTTTCTCTTCAGCGATACACTGTTGTAAGACCTGCTATCTGAGGCTTAGGTTTTACACCGGAGTACATGACCACAATTGTGTTAGGATCTAAGGCTTCGCAGACTTGACGCCCTTTCTAAAGAGTGTGGGAAAAGTTATATTTTAGTTTAGAAAATAGCTTCAGTCAGGGGCAGTTCTAGGGGCAGGGCCACAGGGGCATTGGCCCCTGCTGAAATCTATTGGCCCCCTGAAGTGCCCCTGTCTTGATACTCATCTGTCCTTTGGCTGAGAGCAATGATGGTGGGTGCAGTTCCATGCCCAAACACTAGAGGCGCTAATGAGTCAAACAGTAAAGTCCAGCATGAATCAATCTCACAGAAGTCTTCTTCTCTTCTTTAAAAGACTTGAACAATTTTGCAAAAATATCTTTCAACTGGCAAACAATGGCTTCATTTTCTCACATGCTTTGAGAATATTTTATCCATGTACAGTAAAAATGCATGTAGCATTAAAAAGGAGAATTTAATTTTTTAATAACATTACATTAGGTTACAATTGTTGGAACATATGTGACCAGTTAAATTTATACACCTTACCAAAACCGAGGATATATGTGCAAGGATGTTGAACAAATGCTTGGCCCCTCTATGAATATTGTGGCCCCTTGATGGCCCCTTGATGGCCCCATACTCAGAAAAATCCTAGATCCGCCACTGGCTTCAGTTTAAAGCAGACAACTCTACTGCTGCTGAGCATCTCTGATATTCATATGTAGCATTGAATGAACAAATGACTGACAGACTCGCCACAAAAAGTGAACAATGCCCATGAAGCAATCATAAAACCAAAAGGCAGCAACAATGAAGCATTTTCCCCTCTTCTCGTCCCCTCGCAGGCTCCTTGGGCACAGCTGGCAGAGTGTGCAGTAAGTCGTCGAGAGGCACGGACAGCTGTGAGATCATGTGCTGCGGCCGAGGCTACGACACCATGCGCGTCAAACGTGTCACCAAGTGTGAGTGCAAGTTCAAGTGGTGCTGCGCTGTGGAGTGCCAAGACTGTGAGGAAGTGGTGGACGTGCACACGTGCAAGCCTCACAAGCGACCCGATTGGCTGGACATAACTTAGCAAAGAAGGCCTGGACGTCTGGCTTCAAGAAAAAAAAAAATTAAGACGTCCTTTAAGTGGGATCTTTTGACTTTAATGGATGTGGTGTTTGATGCTTTGACACCTCCCAAAGCTGAGACTTCAGAACTTCTTTTTGGATGTTGGTAAACTGGAAACGAATTGTGGTTACAAACAGAATGTTTTATTGAAGCGAGATGTGTGGAGCATTTAAGATACACACTTATATATTTGATATAAAATAGATCAATATTTTATTTGCTGTTATAAATGTTTCTGGCTGAGGCAGCCATGGTGCCTCCATGCTTTTCAGGAGATTAAAGACATGACCACTGAATGAGAAAAAGTTATAACTGATATTGTATCATTTAAAATGACTAAGTCATTTTATGATACAGCAACAAATCACTTAAAATGTAATTGCCAGTTGCTGCTAATAAAATCCTTAAAAAAAGCCAAAAGATGCAAATGAAACATCTTTTAATTATAGTAAAAAAGAAGTAAATAAGAAAAAAAGGAAAGATTTTCTGTTAAATGGCAGCAGAGTTAGCTGCAAAGTAAGATTTGATAAAATATTGTGAACAAAAAAAATAAATGAAAAAAAGAGAGAACTGTATTTCACGTGAATTTTGGGCTACTGAGTAAAATATTTGTGTACAATATGCTGCATATTTTCAGGTTGTGTTGCACCATGTAAGGCTTTCTCCTTTCTACCTCTGGTTCTTATTGCCTGTTTCTTCTTCTTATCAGCTCCTTTAAGCACGATCCCCTAAGGATCATGTAGATTGAAACCAGTACCAAAAAGTACAAGAGAAAACAACTCACGTGCAAAATAAATGCAAAAATAATGAATTATTGCATCTCAAATTAAGATGTCGTCATATCGGACGTATCACAGGTCAGCTACATACATCAAACTCGTCAAAAAATTTGCTGTATTTCAGGTCAGGAGTCCAACCAGGTTGTTCCTATTTACAGTAAATGTGCTTTTTTTAAACCATTATAATTGCTGCTTTTCTCATTTCTTGTTCATCATTACAAAAGCCGTAAGGAATGTTTATTCTCTCATCACTGTATGACATACCACATTTATAATGCAGTCTTATGTAAATGTGCTTTTAGTCCTTTTCACACACAGATCTGCAGCCCCTGAAGGTGAAAAGTGAAGTATTTCTAGAAATCTAGCCAAGACATGGGAAATCTTGTATGCGACCCGAACAGTGAATAATGCAGCCATGTCAAGTCTTTGAAGATATAAGTTTCCAAAGGGTTTGTGGAGTTAAAACGAATGTGACAACAAGGCACGACAGTTAGGGGTCAAGAAATTGTTTCTGCTCCACGTAATGAAGGAGAAAGCCAAAGAAAACGGCTTTGAACACAACCAAATGACAAGCTAAGTCAAAAGTTAATAACAAACTAAAACACCTGTTTTGAATTTGGATAAGGCTGAGTGGATTTTGCTTTTCTCAAATAAAGTTGGAACAGTGATGTGTTCTGTTTGTTAGAACGTGCCACAGTTGTAAATCAGAGCCCATCAAACTTTTAGACGATGACAGAATGCGAGAACAGACTTTTAATGTCCATGAAGGTCCGTGGAAGCATTTTTATCTACCAATGCATGACCAGAAATAGCTTACAGGCTCTATATTAAATCTTGTTGATCCACCCTCTGTTACTCCTACTAGAGGTCCTCCATTCTCTTCAAGCTTACAGTATAACACCGTCCCACACTTTAGTTGTGCAACAAGTATTACATGGAAAGGATGAAAGTAATGCTTCAAACCATGTTTGGGTTTAAGGTTCAGTCATCTCAATAACAAGAAACTCTGGAAAATAAAATTCCACACAGAAGAGATGCAAACAGTAGAATTCCTAAAAAAAGCTGTCGTTTAAATATGACAATGTTAACGATTCAGTTAACTAAACGGTACACACAGAAATAACACCGCAATAACACTTATTCATGTTTGAAATAGATGAGTGTTTGTGTTGCTTTGTCCTTCAAAGCATTTGATCCAGTTTAAGTCTGTAAAAAATAGCAGCAGCATCAAAAGCACTCTACCACCAGTCATATTATAGGGCAGCCTAATTTAACATTTTAAAGCTAAAACAGTCCCAGGGGACAGATGTAAATGCGTCACAACCAGAATCCCCAGAAATATGGGTCTCCCAATACATTGTTGTAGATTTTCAGTCATTCGGGACACAAAGATTAACTGGTTCAGTCGAAGGGAACCAGATGTCTCCTAACTCCTGAAGACGTTTCACCTCTTACTCAAACTGATTGTGGGTTAGAATCATGTTGTGATTTTTAACAGCAGATATTTCTCAGCTGGAAAAGTTTTACTCGTATAAATGTGCCGTTGTCGTGTTAAAAGTCACGTTAATCCTTGAATTTTGTGCTCCTTCTCTAGCACAGAAGCCTGTGGGAAGGTTGGTTTTCAACTTGAAATGATAATCTGGCAACACTTGAGGTCCCACAGTCAGATTCAAGCAGTGACTTTTATTCCAGCTGCTCATCATTTAGCAATAAATCCATAAAGTGCAATGACGGCACTTTGGGTCATTAGTAACATGCTCCAGAAAAGCATCTTCTGAAGGTGCCAGAGTGCGATAATTATAAAAGTGAGCAACAGTTAGGGGTTAGAATTTAAAGTAAATATTTAATTTCAGATTATAGGTGATCGCTAAGTGCCGTTTTGTTTGGTCTGAGCAAAAATAAATCTCATTTTGTGTCTAAATAAAGAAATGACACAAACAAGTACATCGAAGGAATAGTTTATTGTAGTTTTTTTGCTAACAAACCCAACCGAGGGTAGTTACAGTTGTTCGTACATTCTCCTGTCCTCAGCACTCCTTAATCTGAGCAGTTATTCAGTCATGAACTTTAAACAGACCCAAATGGAATAAAAATCACATTTCTGTATGTTGATCAGCATTATGATCCAAATGGGAAACAGTATAACACTACGACGGAGTTTTAGGGCCACGCAAAGAGATTTTTTTTATTTTTTTAAATTACGAGAATAAAGTCAAAATATTACAACATTAAAGTCATATAAAAGTAGTCATAATATTATGAGAATAAAGTCATAATATTACTAGTTTAAAGTAATAATATTCCGAGATTAAAGTCGTAATATTATGAGATTAAAGTCGTAATAATACGAGTTTAAAGTCTTAATATTACGAGATTAAAGTCGTAATATTACAAGTTTAAAGTTGTAATATTACGAGATTAAAGTCATAATATTATGAGAAAAAAGTCATAATATTGTAGCCTTTACACTAAAAAGCATGCAGTTATCACTGCATTAAAACGAGGAATGTTGAGCAACTTGTAAAGTTGTTCTTTAGTATTTATAAATTAATATTTAATCTTTTAGCATATTAGCATCAAGTTATCAGTAGCAGGACTTGGAAATTGTGCAAATTACTATAAACTGAAGCCGTATTGTAATTAATGAATACATTGATGAATTTAGTGGTCACGTAGCTAATTTGGATGAAAGCATATTAATCTAACAGTGACCCGAGTCATCGTGGACTAGTTATAAACACAAAGACATGGCTGTACACAGCAGGTGTGGGGAAAATGAGGAAATGAGGAACGGGAAATAGACACGTCATGATTATGACTTTTTTTCTTGTAATATTACGACTTTAATCTCGTAAAATTATTACTTTAATCTCGTAATATTACGACTTTAATCTTGTAAATTATGACTTTGTTCTTGTAATATTATGACTTTATTCTCGTAAAAATATGACTTTAATCTCGTAATACTACAACTTCAATCTCGTAATATAATGACTTTATTCTCGTAAAATTATGACTTTAATCTCGTAATAATAATAAAAAAAATCTCGTTGTGTGGCCCTAATACTCTGTCGTAATAACACACCTTTTATGATACTGCAAAAACATTTTTCTATTCTTACTTTAGTTTGTCTAATATACTTTTTCACAGATTATATGAAGTCACACTGAGCTGCACTGCAAGTTAAACATCAATACTGTAGTTATAATAAATGCCAATATGAAGTGCTATTACTAGTCCTTCAACTGTTGTTTAGTAGCACCATGTACTAAAACAAAGGCACTTTATTATTAGATTGTTTTTATGTAACTGCAGAGAGGGTGAAGAGCTGTCAGAATGATACAGACGTATGGACTCTGATAATGTAATAGCTATAAAAAAAATGACCCGACAAAGTCGACTAAATTCAATTTAAATGGGATAAAACCATTTGGATAATGATCTTAACATGACTGTAAGTGGTGTAACGTCAGCACTGATCAAGGTTTTAAATGTAATTTTATTATAGATATGAAAGAGGATGTATTGTTTCAGTTAGTTTTTCTCCCTGTGAATTGACCAAACTACTAATCGTACATAAAGTATGAATTTCCTTACGCTAACAGAATAGCAAGTGCATTTGCTTTGACTTGAATTCACCCAATGAGTTCTTGGAAAACATCTTAGGAGTGCTCTTGCTGTGTTGATACGACCTCAGCCAACATAATCAGGAACAATACAGCAAGTGAGCAGTAATGCTGAAGACAGGAGAGCAAACACTTTTTGTCTAAGAATTTTGAGTGAGACTGGTGTTTATACGTGTTTGCATTGTGTGTGTGTGTGTGTGTGTGTGTGTGTGTGTGTGTGTGTGTGTGTGAGAAAGCGATGAGGTCAGATCCGAGTCAGCTGGTGCCAAAAACTGGACGGCATGAAACTTTCCATTTTGTCTGCAAAGAAGCCCAGAGGTGCAAAGAGTGTGCTGAAGAACTGAAAGTAGAAAAGAAAGAATCTTTAAGCCTCAATTTACAAAAGAAATGTTTCTTCTTTCCTCTACTTTAGACAATAACATATAATCTACAGAAATTACAGTTAAAATGCATCTAAAAATGTTTTAGTCCTCCCTAACTTTCACATTTAAGGGTTTTTAATCATAATTTTAACTCTTGAATTTCTTCTTTTGGTAGAAACTAGGCTGGGTTTGACACTGAAACTGCTCAACTTTTCAAAATAATAAAAGAACGGGGAGGTAAGAAGGACATTCAACATTTTAAAGGCAAGAGACACATTACCAAATTTAAGGTGAGCAATTTTAAGATTATTTTAAGATGAACAATATTACATTTTTAACATTATTTTTTTTTCATCCAAAGTAAATTCAATCATTCTGATCATTTTTAAAGAAAGACCAAGTAAATTGCAATTTGTGGATATAATGTGTTCTCTGTGATTTACGTTACCACAGTTTTACTTAATTTGTTTGTTTCTTGTTCAGTGTTTGACAAATAAAATGAAAAATAAATTATGAAAAAATTATTCAGTAATCTGAAGCAAAGAACAAACAGTAGATAAACTGAAACACTTATCTGACTGCTAGCCAATTAGATTCATCGTTAAGCTCCAGATCATCATTAAAATAATAATCTACGTTAAATTTTGCTGAATCTACATGAAGATTACTTCATCATCTTGACATTTTAATAATCTCAGAAGAGAAATGATTAGAACTAGACAAAAAAGGCATAATACTCTCTTAACTCCAGTTTCATGTATTCAGCATGTTTAGCATGTCACAAATAAAATGAACATTAGCCTGCAAACGTTACTATGATTGTTTTTCTTGCAGCAAAGAGCTACAGATGCACTAAAATCTGTTTTTCCTCAGAACGCAACGAGAACCTTTGTGTCCCCCCCTCAGCAGTTTCATGTGCTCTATCTTAACATTACACAAACCAGGCTCACTGGGCGTTCAGAAAAAAACAAAACAATCTTGCCTCACAAGCTTTCACAGAACAAAGAGGAAAGCACTACATGTTCTCTGTGTTTTTATACAAGTCTATGTAAAGACCAGCAAACCACAAATGATTAACCAAAGCTAGAAGTTTAACTCGTAACGGATTAAAAACACATCTGGGGTAAATAAACACAAAGAAATACGTAAATCTATTTATAGCTCTAACAGTCTGTGTTTGCTATGATTAAAGGAGTGTATTCTTAAGCTACATTCACAGAGTCTAAGTTACAGAACAGGTCATTTTCATTCCCAGGAGCCCCTGTTATTCATGGTGATAGAAGCCAGAAGCTACTTTTCTAACAAAGTGCACTTGTAAAAAACATAAAAACCAGTAAAATATGACACCAATCCATCTTTTTACAATTAAGTTTGGATAAATGTGATGATACAGTCCAAATAAAGACTCTGAACTTGAACTTAATAAATCAAAGCCAATAAGCTTCGTGGGCTGGGATGTGATAGTACTCACCGCTTTGGCAAAGACTCCCATGAGCTCAGGAAACTGATGTGTGAGCATGGCCAGCATGGCAGTAAAAGAGCAAAGGCCTGCTGTGAAGAGTATGAAAAAGGGAAGCTCTTTCTTTGGGTATACAGACACCTCGTGAAAAGCTGGAATGAAGATTATAAAAAAAAAGGGGGGGGGGATTAAACATGGGAAACAAAATGTCATCATACAGTGAAGATAAACACACTGAAGTAGTTTAAAGCTGCTGAACGTACAGGGCAGTAGTTCCCTATCTGCTGTTTCTGTGCACCCTGGGTACGGGTAAAACAGGTGACCCTTTTCTAGGGGGTACGGAATTATCCGGAAGGCTGTCAAAGCAAAAACAAAAACACGAGATTAAAATAGAAACTGTGACATAGTGTTGTTTTTTGTCTAAAACCTAAAACACTGAAGAAATGAAAAAGTTTTTGAGAACATTTTAGTAACACCTAACAAAAACAACCTCAATATAAGACAGCAGTTAAAACAAATGATACGTACTGCCCTCCCAAGTGCAGTGTAACAGATTTAAGGCTCCTTCTGCTCTCTTCCAGTGCTGCAGGTGGAAGAAGGCGTATGCTACTGCCTCGCTGTCGCCCCTCTTCAAGATGTGCTCTGGAGGCAGAATCAGGCTCTTCATCTCTAATAAGTACTAAAGTTGGGAAAATTAGGAAACAAAAAAAATTGTGTTCAGTGTCTCTCCTGTGTGACGTCTCTTATCTGTGCGTATTAATACATTTTATAAAAAACGTCATTAAGTTCATTACTAAATCTATGATTTTTACCAAAAAAGAAGGACTCAAGTCATATTTTGCTTTGTAAAAAGCTGAAAAATTGGAAAAAACATTTGCTGAGACTCAGAAGTTGAGAATCCTTTATAAAATACATCCCCTTGGAATTTTAAAATCATTTCACAGTTTAAATGGTTTTAATTACACATATCTCCTTGTTTCTCACTCAGCTCTTATCCTATATTGTGCAACTCTCCAAGCCGAGTCCCTGCAGACTAAAATGTATTTTCATCTTGTGAGGTATTTGTTAAGAGCTTTTCAAAGCTTGTGTGTGTGTGTGTGTGTGTGTGTGTGTGTGTGTGTGTGTGTGTGTGTGTGTGTGTGTGTGTGTGTGTGTGTGTGTGTGTGTGTGTGTGTGTGTGTGTTATTGTTGCAGTGCAGTACATTCATTTCTTGAATGTCTATCATCCCCCACTTGGCCCTCCACTCTTAGCCAACTGTGTAAGTTTGTTCAGACTTAGTTTGAACACTGCACACATCTCAGTTATAACATATAGAACATACCGTCTGTCTGGAAGAATACACAAACTATTAAAATGACAATAAAAGTGTTTTATTAGGTGATGTTCTAGATTTATTGTTTGTTAAATAATGCAAAGCTTTTCTCGAGAAAAAAAAATCATTAATGGTTGCACACTGACTCTAATGATCCTGCTACCATTTCTCTCTGTGGTGCCAAGTGTAGCAGGGAACTGTGTTAAACAAAACCCCTGAGCAGGGCTGGGGGGCCCCCCGGGGCTGGATTCCCAGGCGGCCAGCTTCACAGCGCTCTGGATCTCAGACTGACACTTTGGGAAGGTTACCCCACAGTTAATCCTGTCTAATCCCCTCCATGGTCACAGGCTCAGCCAGCCAGCCAGACCATGCTGCTTCATCCCTCACCCCTGGATCACAGCCCGCCCAGCCTGACCTGGCTCATCCTCATCTTTCTCCAACTCGTCTTCTCTCGCTCTTTTTTTTTTTAAAACTTGGCAAACATTAAGTCCGGTTTATTCCCCCCAAAATTAGAAATTTAATAAGAAATGACAAGAGATAATTTAAATCAAAATTCGCTTTGTTAAATATGGTTTATATTTCAAAAATATTTTGTCCAAATAAGCCATGTTGCCATTTGCAAAATTATCTTCAGCTGCATGTTTGAAAATCCTTAACGTTGCATCATTTATCGCAATGACTACATATTTTCTAGTTGAATTAATGTAAAAGACATTTTAAGGAATCAAACAAGGACATGCAGTAATCAGAGGGCATGTTTTGAAAAATCAATGATCTTCTCTGTCTTCAAGTAAACTCTGCAGACTTTCTGAATATCTCCACCCCTAATAAAGTTTTTCATTTTCAAGGACTTAAAACTGTGTATTTGTGAGGATGAAAAAATAAAACAAAATAAGAATCAAATAATTTAAAACACACTGAAACATGTAAACAAAAAACAAAGTAAAAATAGTAAATGAGTGGACATGACTTCCATATCTGGACCTCATTCATCTGCCTGTCCTCAAATTCACAAGCAAATACTCCCTTCAGATTTTCTGTTATCATTGATGACTCATTAATGCAAAGAAAATAGTTTACATTTTTTTCTATTTTTGCCTAAATTAAACGGCTGCTTGTGCCAACACATGTAAACCTCCCGTGTTTTAAGATTAACCATTTAGAGAGGCCGACTGCTCAGCTGTTCTTCCTCACATGCCATGGCATTAGACCTGGTGACACCTCAGTCACATATCCTGCACCACCACCACCCCGTCCTGAGGTCTGGCTTTTTTACTCCCCGTCGCCTCTTTGATGAAGGGATTGAGTTTCATGTGTTCTCCTTTTATCCCCGGGCAGCCATAAGCCTAGAAACAACATAGAAGCCGTCTTCTGATTCACTTTGCCTCAGACACACACACACAGGCAACAATGACATCAACCTTGTAGTTGCCGTATGATTGATGGACAAACACATGCACGGTGAAATATCAGACAGAAAATAACGGCTGCTGAGATCAGAAAAACAGAGGAAAATATGAATTTCTGAAAAAAGCGGGGGGAAAATAGCAGAAAACTTGCAGCATTTGCCCCAAAGTAGGAAAATTCTAAATTACGGGGTAATTCGTGAAACTACTCTTTGTTGTCTAAATCAAACATCATCAATCCTCATTTTAAACAAACTTAAAGCTGCTTTTCTGTCTCATTTTACAAACCAAATAGCCAATTTTAGAGGTACACCATGAAAAAAAAACTCTTCACTTCTGAGTACTGACAGGCAATCTAGACAAGAAAATGTCAACCAGAATGAGGTGATATACAAAAACTGCTGTCCAAACTGAAGTAAACCAGCAAGATAAAGGGGATAGGGTCACCCTGGCAGCCTAAAAATGAACATGTATTACTCTAGAAGGTTGTTAATGTAAATGGAAAGCAGATTTAGGTAGCAGGAATACTTGGATCTGCTACACGAGCATTTGGGAAAACTGTCATCTTCTTAAACACTTGGTGCAATGGCTAAATGGAGCGGACAGACAGACGTAGAGTTGACTGGAAGATAAACTGAATGTGACAAGAAGAGGTGGGAAGGAAAATATAAATCAGCAAGGGAGAATTAGAACCAAAATGAACACTGGCTGAAGAGAAAGGAAAAGAAGTTGTGAGAGAGGAGGGCAGTGTGCTCCTAAATGGCTTTTGTATTAAGGTATGTGTGGATAGATTTAATGTGTGTACAGTTTGTCTTCTCTTTGAGATGTCTGAATGAAATCATGTGATGTAGCCTAGAATAAAACTTAAATAAAATGTACTTGGAATTCTTATTATACACAAACCTCTTTATACATTCTTATTGCTTGAACTAATAATGTTCATTTGGTTGGCTAAAAATTTAGTTATTTTTATTTTACTTTTTTCTGTGCACCGCTTTTGATTTACTGGTAAATCACTTTGTTTTATGTCTGTTTTATAAAAAAAAGTGACTAAAGACTCGATATGATGATCAGGTAAAAAAGTGCAGATAAATCTGTGTTTCGACTAAGTCAAATTTAGGGCTGCATGATTTTAGAAAATATTGCAATGGCAATAAGATTTGCAAATGACGATAACAGGTGGGATATGTCTTTTTTCCCCTTTCCTCACTGTCTAATCTTTATGTCGTACTCTATGTGACTTTTAGCATTGTTGGCAATGTCATTTATGTCTGGTGTGAGCTTTTGTTGCCGTGAGACTCTGTTCTACTGACTAAATATTGCAATAGCATGAAAAATACAACTTCAAAACTCCTCAAATTAATTAACCATCACTGCACTCCAAACAGTCCTTTGCGACATGATTATTGCCCACATTGATATTGCAATGACAACATATTTGTGATATATTGTGCAGCCCTAGTCAAATTGTTATTAATTGTCCATTTAGGTGTGTTTTAGTGTTTAGACTAGGCTTAAAAAAACAATCAGAGACAGAAACTGCAGTTTGTTCACAACACTGAACAGCCAATAAATCTGACAAACCCCCTGCTGATTCAATTTACTGAATCAGTCCAAACACCAAGTGACATTTTCAATGCTTCATAGATCATGAAGAGATGAGAGGCAGATGTTCACTTCCACGCTAAACATTCCCAATTAACCATTTTAATGAACCCTTAAAGCTATTTCCATTCCAAAAAATATATATCAAAAAAAATTTGATCCCTTCTTTTCCTCTATAATTGCAGGTAAATATTGATGGATGAAAATGTCATATCAAAAAAAAATTGGTTTAAAACTTCCATTGGGTAAAAACTGGCTTTTGTGGTCATTTGGTTTGCTAAAACTTAATCTCACTTTCCTTTACAAGTTAGCTTTATCGTCATGTGTAAGTTACAATATAATCATTTAGCCCACAGCTTTAAAATAAAGGAAGTTCAAAGAGTTTCTATATTGTTGCAAACTTATTAAACACCACATTGACACTCAGTTACAGAAATTCATTCCTGGACAAAGGAGTATGAGGATTCACACTGTGGCTAAGTAATATGGGTGATGAATTCAGCACTTTTTTATTTTTATTTTTAACTTTAATCAAAACCCCTAAAAATCATTTAGAAGCCTCATAATTGCTAAAAAATCAAAAAAAAATAACTTGCAGTTCTGAAGGACAATACATTCATTTAAAACCCAAACACCTGAGTTTCCTTTAGAGGACAAAAAGAGAACAGATCTTTAAAGGTCACAGTCACAGGTGCACCCATCATTTAAACAAAAATTCAACACAAAACAGCACCGCCTCCTTCCCAAATTTGGTATTCTCATACCGAACACTGCTATGAGAGGACTGAGTATGTAACAAACTCCTGGGTCAAAGTCTGAAACACGAGTCCTCCCAATAATCCCTCATGAAAGGTGTGTTAATATTTCATAACGTCTTCTAACTATTCAACCAAACTCAAAGAGGCAATTCTGACAAAGTTGGCAGTGGTCGTGTTCAGACTGTTCTGCGTAAACCGGGGATGAGAGGGGATAAGGGAACACGAGAGGAAAAGAAACAAGATGAAGGTAGGTGATGAGAGAAGAGAAGACTGCTGCCTCTGGGCAGAACGGGGAGCAAACATGTTGGAAAGACACTGAAGGTGAGCGCCCTCACTTTAAAGTCAAGGATCAAAGTGTTGGCTGTCATCTGCAAAGTCCACACACATAAACTCACTCCTTCTCTGTCTGCCAAGAAAAGGAGTTTACAAAATGAAAACACTACACTACAAAGCCAGAACTAGGGCAAAAACTCTGCTGCAACTAGCTATGCAATAAAACGTGTGCGCGTGGGTTTGTGTGAGACATTTAATCCTGTGGGAACTGATGCAAAAGGACATCCAGGTCTAGTCCCCTGGTTAAACACAACAAAGCTGAAGTATTGTGAATATTACACCATTTTTAAATGATGATTAGTGTAAATCTGTTCACAAAACTTGCAAATGTAATTCAAAATCCATATGACAACTAGAGATCTGAACAGATAAATAAAAGTGACCAGTGTGACTGATCTAATTAGGTATGAAGACCTACACTGCCATCTTCTGGTGAGCCAGTAATATGAGTGTAATAAACTGTCCTACACAACCTGTTACAGCCCCTGATTGTTAGACTGCTGTTTGTGGCTTTGACTTCAAAATTACAACTTCTCCACATAAACGTTAATCTAACATTATCAAACTAAAAATACTGCGACTGGAAAAAGAGCTTGAGCTATTACGATGAATGCAAGACAGTATGACGGTTAAGGTTTCCTTAGCTAATGATTTATGTAACGGTTTGTAATAGCAGGGTTCCTCCAGCTTAAAACAAGTTAAACTTAAGACTTTTAAAGACCTATTTAATGCCACTTGAAACTTATTTTAAGACCAACTTCACAAAAAACAATATGAAAGAAAAAAAAAGAAATAAGAAAAGTATAAGATGAGATGAGCTGCATCAAGACAAAACCAGAAAAAAAAAAACGTAGCAACAAT